TTCTTTGTTTCCTCTTCTAGCCTCGCTGTAGCAAAAAAACTTGGAAAATTATTTTTCCAACAGAAAAAAATAGAGTCAAAGTGCAAAATTTAAACTCTCATAACTTAGAAATTTTTATAGATAAAATTTTTAACTTTTTTCCATGTTCCTGGTATCTTACTTGATATGGAATTTTTCTCTGGATCGAGTTCTGGCGCAACCTATCAGGAAGGCAAAAAGTTTACCCCTCCCATAGAAACAGAAAAACGTGCTACTAGAGTTAATGGCAAAACTGAGATATCAAGAGAAATTGTTAGTTTTTCTTTCAGAATCATAGGGAAAATTATATCTATGAAAAGTGTCTTTTTGTTTCCACATGTGAGAGAAAAAGATACACTTTCCTCCTTTGTAATACAAATAATTATTTTATGGTACCTGCTAGAAATATTTTTTTTTGGCTAAGTGTTAAACACCTTGTATACTACATACAGCTTTAGGCTCTTAGGAATACATGACAGCGAGTCTTTTTAATAATTTCTTAATAAGAAAATCGATAAGTAAGTGTCTTTTGTGTCTGTACACTCCCATACACAACCTAATTCAGGAAGCAACTTTTATACGTTGAAATAAATTGCGAAACTTTTAAGAATTTGGGAAATAAATTCTTGACATGATTGATATTAAATTGAAGTATTATATTTTACTCAAGTAAATGATAAATTACTTCAAGTATTACTGTCATGGAAGTGTCTCATCCAGTGCGGATACACTGGCAATGATTAGCATATAAACTCCCACAGGAAATTCTTGATATCGGCATAGCTTGTTGTCAGCTGTGAAATACAACCATTATGGAATAGAATCAGGTGCCCGATGCCAACCAAATAGCAATCCGATCACTTTATTATTAAAGTGCTTTTTACTGACGATTGCTCATCCAAAATCGCTTATGAAAAGTCATCACTTTATTAAGCTTTGCATTTTCTTATTTCTACTTCAAGAAAAAACGAAAAAAAACAGTTTATTGATCGGACGTATGCACATCTGCATCCTTCCAAAAATGTCTCCAAAGACGTGCATATGACGTCCGCTCTAAATAAAACTCGATTCGGTGTGTTTGCTACAGGAACTGCACCGATTAGCGTCGTTACATGCAATACATGTAAATTCTCTTGTCATGTTCGACATGAAAACTAATTAGTTGATCAGCTTCGAGCTAAATACGGAGTTGTGAAAACTTGACGAAAATATCTAAGTGATTTTAATTATTTTTATCACGGTTTTGCAATATGAAACAACGCTGGGAAATGTAGCGGAAATTGAAAAAATTCGTGCGGTAGGAGTTTCAGGTGATTTCGGGCAGAAATATCGATGCTTGATTGGACAGGAGGTTCGCTCCACACACAAAATTTTTGTTTTTAAAATATCGACCAAGCTTTCGAAACTGACAAAAAGGTACATTTATAAAATGTATTAACAAACATCATTTTTTTTATATCCTAAAACTCCTAAAAACTATTATGTCAAATTTCTTCATTTTCAAGTAGGATATCATCAGTGGTTTATTTTATTATTTCACAAAAAATAAACAAAAATTTAAAATTAAACGTTAGCAAAATTTGCGCTGGATAAGGCATATTTTATATTTCCTTCGATTTGCTTTACTTTTCATTTAGATGCCCAAAACCTCTGATTTGTTTAAATGAATTCGAGGTTTGARGAATTCGTGAATTATTTGCTGTTGGTTTTGCAAACGACATATAAATATTTAATAAAAATTAATGAAAATTATTGGCATACTTGTTGACGTTTCGATTTCGGAGGCTTTACAACGCGAAGTTTCAAGAAAGTAAGTATATATTTTGRGTACATTAAAATTTTATTGTAAAAATTAGGACAGGATTGTTACTATTGTYTTGCATTTTTAGTGTATGTACATACGTCTTTATGTTTATACGTATCTACTTACTTTGTGTTACGTAATTTTTTTATTTCTTCCATTTTTAATTTTTTTATTACTAATAAAAACAGAGAAATTGCAAGAGTGGATCCCTACCTGTTTAATTATAATGTGTTGGGTGTTGCTCTATAAATATCAATTTAAAAAATAATGAAAATGTTTCAATTTTTTAAAAACTAATGTAATCACAGTAATGTGATAAAATACAATGTTTTTTTTAAAAAGCAAGTAATTTTTTTCATTTAGATACAAATCTAGACGTTTTCCCCCACATACAGGCTGTCCCAGAGCTCCGTATTTCTTCGATTACTCTGACAATAAAGAAGATAACGAAATGCGGTTTCTTTTGAACGATAGACATTCATTTTTTCTATGGTCCAAAAATATTTTCGTCATTGTAAGTACTTCCTACATAGGGTGGCGCAACAAAGTTATATTTTTTCTTATGGAACACCCGATATATTATGCGCTTATTTGAAAGAGTTTTTAATTCTATGAATATACATATTAGGTTTTATGGGTCTATCATAAACCGTTTATCATTTGTGGGCAAATTACCATTTTTGAAAAATCACAACAGCTTTGCTAGAAAGAAAAAGTGAATAAAAACAATTGCAACCATTTTTACTAAGTCTGGTCCTAAGTTATTATGGTAGAAATTCAATAAATCTTTTGCAATTACTGCAGAGTATTGACATTAGTAAAATGTAAATTATCTTGATTTTTTCAAATGAAACACCCTGTATATTATTACTTTATCGTGTAGAGCTTTTAATAAGCTTTCTAAAAAACCTTGGGTTTGGAGTTCTAAATATTACCTATTTTATTGTACACCTTTTTAAACCTACAAAATTTTAAATTATTCTATTTAGCGTTAAAAATCAAGTAGGTTTGCGTTATGTCCTCTTCTAAAAAAATTGGATAATTTTTTAAAGTTACGTTATCACCATACATCAATTAAAAAAACAGGTTGTTTATTGAAAGACTGAGTAAAACTCAGGAAACGATAATTGGAATTTGAATTCAATGCAACACCTTGATTATAAAAATTTCAAAATTTAATTAATTCTATAGCAAATATTCAAAAATCCTGCCATTCCTCGTCAGACAGACGTATAGTCTACGCATAAAGAAAAGTTTGATTGCCCTCAGCATTTCAACAGAGATGTTATTAAAGACTTCAATTATTCTTTTTTCCATGTCATTTGGAGTGGTGGTTCTTGTTCGATACACCTTCTTTTCAACACACCCCGATAAAAAGAAATCAATTGTAGTAAAATCTGGAGATTGCGGTGGCCAGACAATAGTTCTCCCCTCCTAATCTAACGATTACGAAATCTGTTGGTAAAAATTGTCACACAATTCGACAAAAATGAACAGGAGCTTCATCATGCTGTAGTTAAATAATTCTACATTCTCTAACAAACTTTATTGATGTATGGTGATAACGTAACTTTAAAAAATTAACTTTTTTAGGAGAGGAAGTAACGCAAACCTACTTGATTTTTGAGGCTAAATAGAATAAGTTAAAATTGGTATGTTTCAAGGGTGTACAATAAAACAGGTAAAGTTTAAACCTCCAAACCCTAAGTTTTTTAGAAAGCTTATTAAAAGCTCTACACGATAAAGTAATAATATACMGGGTGTTTCATTTGAAAAAATCAAGTTACTTGATATTTTGCGAATGTCAACACTCTGCAGTAGTTGCAAAAGATTGATAGAATTTTAACCATAATAATTTAGAACTTGATTCAGTAAAAATGGTTGCAATTGTTTTTATTCACTTTTTCTTTCTAGCAAAGCTGTTGTGATTTTTCAAAAATGGTACTTTTTTCTCATAAAATTGCCCATAAATGATAAACGGTCCATGATAGACCCATAAAACCTAATATGGATATTCTTAGAATTAAAAATTCTTTCAAATAAGCGCATAATATACCGGGTGTTCCATAAGAAAAAATATAACTTTGTTGCGCCACCCTATATAGGAAGTACTTACAATGACGAAAATATTTTTGGACCATAGAAAATATGAATGTCTATCGTTAAAAAGAAACCGCATTTCGTTATCTTCTTTACTGTCAGAGTAATCGAAGAAATACGGAGCTCTGGGACGGCCTGTATATACCCTATCGAAAATTAAAAAGCTGATATTGTTTCCGACAGGTATAAATGTAAATCTAACAAAATTTGAATATTTGATGCTCACATTTTTGCAAGGAAAAGTTAATATAAATCAAAATTGTTTCTGTTTTAAAAGTCTCATATTAAAATCAGTAACGTATTATAAGAACAGAATGGTATCATAAAATAAAATAATAATTTGTCTTGTACCTATATTTTGATCACACGTCCATCAATATAAAGATATTTGATATGTTTTATTAGTGATTGTTACTACATGCATATACATCCTTATTAAACTTATTATGCACATGAACAGAGTCGACTAAGTATAGAAAGTAATCATACAGTTGAAATGTTTGAACATTTATTGCACTATATATATATATATATTATGTGGAGACCCTCGTGAATAACGCCCACTTCTCAATATCAAAATGTAACCTAGTGTAAAATATTCTAATTTTATAGTAAGTAAGACAAATTAAAACAACGTGTTTAGTTTTAACCATTTAAGAATTAATATATATTAAAATAATCACTTTGTAAAAAAACCGTTTGGTCTGTGTTTGTAATATTTAATCAAAATGCAAATAAAACGAAAAATTAAAAAAAAACTTGAACAAATCATTACCAGTTTAACTTTTGTTTGTAAATATTTACACATTAAACAAATTTGATAATAGTTTATTTGGGTGAAAAAATCTCAAAAGGTGCACTTTAAACATTAAAGCTAATTTARTTATCGCTAAACTGTAAATTTATGTGTTTATATTAAACGAGCACGTATCATATGTTGCAATCAACGCTGAAAAAGACGATCGCAAACCACCTAATTGCTTCCTTTTAATCCCATAACTGAATCGCATTTGCCACCCGATCAAGCATATCAAGTCAAGCAAAAAATAAAATAAAGACATAAAAATATGGAACTTACTTCGCATGGTCTCAGATGCAGTGAATCGAAAGCTTCAGCTTTGCTAATGATATTTTTCAATCGTATGGGTTTTCTATATGCTCCGGGCGAATTGTGTGTAATCGGACAGTGATTTTCGGCGATGGCTGACACGTGATTGCTATTTATGATCGACATTTCAGTAAACTTTCAGCACATTTTCACTGACAATGTCGCTTTCTAATTCGCACGCTTTTCACTGAAACCGTTGCGTAAATATAGAGAAGCGGCTGTCACTTTAAGCTAATTGATTCCTATAAATTCCTCTATTTGGTCGCTTTTATTATCCCATAAAATCGGAAAACGCTCAAAATTAATTAAATAATTCGAGACAACGCCGATTTCCGGTAGACCGCGCCACTAAACTCTGATTGGAAAATTTCAATGTGCGATTATTTTCCAGTCGCGAATTAATCGCTGATTAAGTTTCGTCGTGAGGGGAGTTTTTTCCAATTGCATTGCGATGTTTGTGGCGCGGAAGGACAGTGTTGACTGTATGCAATCCAGTGTGCGTTCCGGTTACCGGAGTCGGACACGGATTTCTGCGCTACGCTCCGGAGTGCGAAACCGTTCCGAGACGCTCCTCCCCACCATTCATCCGAAGCTTCAGACCTACAGCCCCACCACGCGACTTCGTCACCTGTTGACAGTATTGCATTCAACTTCGGGGAGTCTTTGAGGACGCGAGTCGAGCGGAAGCAGAGGGTGGCATGAATTATTCAGCGACGAGGGGAACCTTGCCGATTCGTGGACAAAGTTGTACAAACGAAGGGAATTACACAGCAGCGGAAGCTGGAATTTTTCGCGCGGACGTACACACAACAAATGGACGAAAACTATTCTAAACAACTAATTAAAAGTCCAGTTATTTGGACGCCGATTGAAATTATTCACAAGTGGYTGTGTTTAAAGCCACTGCAGGCAGAAAAGATGCTTTAATTAAAAGTTGGGACATGAAAAAGTTTGGGTTACAACGACTTTACAAACTTTTAAGTCGCAAAAATTGATAGTAATAATCGGGACTAAACACGGCCAAATATTTGAGGAAGACTGCGATTATTGAGTGACTGTAAAAACACATAGAGACAAAAACTTTCTCAATCAATTAAATGAACTTTTTGATCTACTAAATCATGTGGACAGTACTCGTAAAACAGTATCTTCCTAAAATTAATTTGTAATATTAATTTAATTTTCTATTATTTGCCGCTTTTTACGTACCATTTCTTGTTGTTTCTTTCTAGAGTGTTTCTTAGTGCCTAATGACTTTCAAAATTAGTAATGTGGTTACACATCTAATAACGAACTACCTGAAATATAAATTATTGCTTATTGTTTTCTGTTTATTAATAGCAAAATAATTGGCCAAAGATTTTTAATACATAGTTACGCTCTCTAAGAATTTGAAACAAAAATCATAATTGCAGTCATATAAATATTATAAAATGAAGCCTTATCAATAGTGCCTATTTCCTGAATAATCAGTAGTTATATCCAGAGTGCATTCCAAATACTTCGTCCACTCGTAAAAATATTCGAGGATGGCATGCAAGAGGGATATTCGAGGACTATTTCCTGTAGAAAATTTAGTAGGAATTTCACAATAGAAATAATAAAAAACAAAAATAATTACCTTTTGGAAATACCGAGATTGTGCATTCAATAACAACCATAACTGTAACTTAAATCAATAAATGCATTTTGGTAATTAATAGCGCAAATGTTTTGAAAATTTTAAAAATAATTACTCTATGTACGTGTGAAAATACTCGGGTGCATCGAATACTGATGATAATCGCCCGTTGCAAAGTGATTTCTATAATATGCATCAACAAGTCCACAATCTCCCAAAAATTTCTTGGTATAACAAAAACCCAAAATTCTTAATCCTTTATAATCTCGATAAAATTAAAGAAAAGTGAAAGAAGAAAACCAAACGGGCTGAAGACTCCGGTCGATGGCCCGTTGACGAGTATTTGTTTGAATTTGATCAGATGTTATATTTATGTGTTTATTATTTGTATTGTATTGAGCTGTTAATAATAGTATTTTTTTCTCTGTATTATCAAATTTGCATTTTTTAATAAAAATTAAAAATTTTAAAAAGCAAACAATGAACGTCAAAGCATACCTAAAAAGTTTTCGGTAAAAACACTGTAAGCTATAACTTTATTATTTATGATTACTTTACCAACAATTTATATTCTATTGTAAGCAGTAGCTTTTATTGTTTCATAATTTTATAATTACATACGACTTATTATGTCATTACAATTAATTGGTAAATTAACTTTTCAAATTCATTCATATAAGACAAAAATTAGTTTGTTCTTTGAAGTAGTACTCAATTATTTTAAAACATTACCAGTATTATCACTTTAACTGTAAAAAACTGCAGGATTTTCTTTTGAAAGATAAGTATTTACTGTAAACCATAGTAAAATAAAAA